AAGTTTCCGTCCACACGCAATATTCACCGGATAGTGTTTGTCCACACGAGACAGCTCCGTTTAGCTCCAACCGCTGGAGAAGCTACAGTACATATGCCGAGCCTGTACGTGGCGCTGTAACTTCCTCCACAAAAGCAGCGAAGAAGCATGGTTGTCATGGTTGCCCTTCTGTTTATTCTCCGCGGTGGGGGCCGAGGGAACCGGGCAGAGTTTTTCGCCAGTCAACGTGTATTAAAGTTTAAATCTTCCGACAAAATTATAAAAGTGCCGGTCAAAGGTCTTCTTTGTTATTTATTGAGCTTTAAAACAAATGAATAACGACTCTATATAATATAATAATAAAAATACACGGAGCCTCTCTTTTTCCTCCCTCTCTTTGGACAGCGTCAGTGTCTGTCTCATGCAGCAGCTGATCCAGTAATGAGTGACCCGGCCGACAGTAAACATAAACATATTTATAACTAGTTTAGGTAGTTTGAGAGGTAATTAAAATAGCTAAGGGTGATGATCTGACTTGAAGTGTGTGTTTTGCGCCGTTCACCGCTGCATCACAGCGGGAGGAGCTGCAGGTGAGCAGAGCTGCATGTCTCCGTCCTGTCAGATTAGACTTCACTCGCGTTTTGGTCCATATCGAGAGAAAAATAAATAATCTGAATTCAGTGTGCAGTTTACTTTGACGCGGGGGTGAGCAGCAGAGGTGGGGAGAGGCGGGGCTATTGCCTCATCATTATCAGAAAATGATCGTATAGGGCGTACACACGGAGCCGTTTGACCCCCCAGAGCGTTGCGTATGCCGTTCTATCCACCTTGGGACCCGTTATCGTTACCGTAGTCGTTTAGTGCCGTATTCTGTCGTCCTAGTGTGGCCGAATGATCTATATGACACAAAACGGTAACGGAAACGACCGTTATCGTCCTCGTGTGGCCGGGGCCTAAGTCACAACAATAGACAAACACAGTCAGCTTAAACTAATACCACACAAACAATTATATGTTTTCATGTTTTTATTGAACACACCATGTAAACATTCACAGTGCAGGGTGGAAAAAGTATGTGAACCCCTAGGCTAAAGACTTCTTCAAGAGCTAATTGGAGTCAGGAGTCAGCCAACCTGGAGTCCAATCAATGAGACGAGATTGGAGGTGTTGGTTAAAGCTGCCCTGCCCTATAAAAAATACACACCAGTTTTGAATTTGCTATTCTTAAGAAGCATTGATGATGAACCATGCCTCGCACAAAAGAGCTCTCAGAAGACCTACGATTAAGAATTGTTGACTTGCATAAAGCTGGAAAGGGTTACAAAAGTATCTCTAAAAGCCTTGATGTTCATCAGTCCACGGTAAGACAAATTGTCTATAAATGGAGAAAGTTCAGCACTGTTGCTACTCTCCCTAGGAGTGGCCGTCCTGTAAAGATGACTGCAAGAGCACAGCGCAGAATGCTCAATGAGGTGAAGAAGAATCCTAGAGTGTCAGCTAGAGACTTAAAGAAATCTCTGGCACATGCTAACATCTCTGTTGACGAATCTACGACACGTAAAACACTGAACAAGAATGGAGTTCATGGGAGGACACCACGGAGGAAGCCACTGCTGTCCAGAAAAAACATTGCTGCACGTTTGAAGTTTGCAAAAGAGCACCTGGATGTTCCACAGCACTACTGGCAACATATTCTGTGGACAGATGAAACCAAAGTTGAGTTGTTTGGAAGGAACACACAACGCTATGTGTGGAGAATCCAAAGGGTTCACATACTTTTTATTGCAACTGTATGATGCTTCACAGGGTTGGATTGATGGGGAACCCCTCGGATGGCTTCAACGGGAAAACCATCGCCATGTCCATCTCTAACTTCTGGGCCGAGGTCACTCTTGTGGAGAGCCAGACTTTGGTAACACTTACAAATTCAGGAGTAAAGAAATAGAACTTCATTTGGGACATATTGTGGAAAACATTTGTGAATTTCTGCTGTGACTCTGTAGGTGTTAGTCCCTCATCCCCTCAACGACCCCACAGAGTTTGGAAGCTTGCAAGATCTGTTCTGCATCAGTAGGAAGGAAGGGTGAGTACATCACACGTGAAATGAGCAAAAATACACAAGTCATGTTCAGGCTTCTTCCACATGTTCTGTTCACATGTTCCCCCCCCCCCCAACCTGTAGGTACCTGGGAGGCCTGCGGCTGCTGCAGGCTACCTGCAAGAAGTTCTACCAGTTCTGCTCCAAACAAGGGTAAGGTCAGATTATTATTGGATAAAATATTTAATTTAAATATTAGCTTGAGCATTCTTTTTACCTCCAACTTTGTATATCATATACATTATATATCACCACGGATACTGCTTTAACTTTCTCCAACACTATGGGTTACTTTTGCAATTTAAAATAGTGAATAAATAAATAAAGTTTTCAGATAATTTCGTTGAGTGATAATAGAATATTGTAAAAATACTTAGTTACAATTAAAAGCACTGCTTTAAATACATGACGTATTTATTAAAACAATCTGACACTGTGGGGCTCTCCCCTAAACTGAATAGTTCCATCATTATAAGGGACGTGAATTTATTTTTTGTATTCACCCTGAATCAAAGATATGTGTATCATATCTGTGTGTTCTGTGTGCAAAACTCAATACATACTTATAATGAAAATACAATAATAATAAAACACTTTTTTGTCTTTTCATTATGTTTTAAAATAATTAATCCTAAATACTTACCTTACCTTATTTGTTAATGAGAGTCACACTAGCTTATAATGCTCCTTCAATGTCTGCTGTGTTTTTTTCCACAGTATTGCTTTGACAAAGCAGAACTTCACACTGAAGTATGACACCAACATTCCTCGGCAAGTGGTGAGCAGCCATTTAAATACTGGATAACAGTCAGTGTATTGGTCTAATGTGAAAACCTTCCGTAATGATGAAATTATCTGTCTCTGATTTACTGCAGGGCCTCGCTGGAAGCAGGTAAAACATTCTGTCTGATCATTTAGATAAGGTCATTTTAGGTAATTTTCTATGCTTTTTATTTAAATAATGTACGGCCCTCTTATTTCACAGTGCCATCGTCTCAGCTACTCTGAAGTGTCTCATGAAGTTCTACAATATCACAGACAATGTAAGGATTTGTCCCATCTGATGGAGTTACCAAAACATCAAAGCTATCTGGACTTTTCTGTTACACCTTACCACTACAGCAGTTTTTTTTGTTGGTTTATTTAGCAGGGGCAATGCACATTAATGAACACTTAAAACAAAAAAATGCAAATAGTGTAAATATGCCGGATTTCAGCTTGGAGCTCATTTCCATCCGCAGTCCCTCACATAAAACATTTAAGAACATGAAAATGATACACATAGCAAAAACAAATACATGTCATGATATGCAAAAGAGCAAGAGCAGCACACACAAGCATTTACCACATGGCAGTACAATATAGCAGCAACAACATATAAAGTGCAAGAGAAGATAGAAGAGCTACATAAAGTGCAAGAGGAGATACCCCTGTATTAAAGTGCATTTAGCGGTGATTGCACATCTGTTTGTTTCTCAACCATTCTTTTAGTGGACCTTTTAAAACTATTGAGAGTGGGACAATCCTGTATCTCAGTTGGGAGGCTATTCCACAATGAGCTGCCTTTAATGGAGAGGACATTTTGTCCTAAAAGGATTTTAAAAAACATATGATGAAACAAAGAACAACAAATATACATAGCCGAGGAAGTGGGTTAATCATTTGAGAAAATAATATCAGAGATAGTCACTGATGTAAGACATGAAAAACTCATCACAGAAGTTTAAATAACATTAGTGAGGTGTGGAGTTATTATTTTTAAAGTAGATTTACCAATTTTATTTGAGAGATTATCCAAGTTATTTATTTGTTTTTAAAGATATCTTTGGCCTAAAGAGTGCCTTTATTGAGAGATACAGTGTTGAAAGGGTGGAGACAGAGGGGTCGACAATGCCTTTAAGTTCTGTGTGCCGGACTCAAACTCGCGCACTCTGCAGCGGATACCATACGGGTCACTTGATAGCTCAGTGGTTAGAGCTGGCAGCCAAGATTCTTTGTTAAGATTAAGTTGATTTTAGTTTTAGTTTTTTTTACTGAATATTACCCCTTTCCCTTCATATTGTTGATACCTGAAATGGCCCTGATATGCTGTCATATCTTACGCTGTTTGTGATAATGAAAAAAACATCAGCTGCAATGTGTTTCTTTGTATTCATCAAAGTATTTTTTAAACAAGTGACATGAAAGACTCCCAACTAGTTTATAGGAGCTTAGTCAAATACTAAAGCTACCGAGGCATTTAACACCCTGGAGTGTCCTGGCTGACAAACGATTCTGTTTCAATAAGATACCGTTTGCTGTGTGGCCTCAATCAAGAATCTGCATGCTCTTTTGTTGAAGCTTAATACAATCCATTTATTTTCTGAGCATGTGCATTATAAAAGTAAAGTCCATACAATGCTAGCAGTTTCTACACACGTTGCTAGTGATGGGAATTACGGCTCTTTGAAGGGAGCCGGATCTTATGGCTCTGTTCCTTTCCGAGAGCCGTTCTAAAGAGCCGTTTTTTTAAGTGGCGGTGGAGATTATTTGTTGACCCTGCTTTAAATGATATTTTAGCTTTACAACTGTTGCACTCCGCTTTATCATTGCCTATGTTTTTGTTGAAGTGCATCCAAATGCTGCTGCGTTTTCGCGATTGGCTCATTTTTTCACCCGAAACACACGTCGTCTACCTGTACCACTGAAGAATGGCTCTCACCAAGTACGACTCGGTTCCCTTCGTTCGTACCAAAGAGCCGCTCAAAAGATGTTCGCCAACGTAACATCACCACACGTTGCTGCTACAGCGGTAAAAAAAACTGTCAAACACACCCAATCATATGACACAGCACCTCTAAATACTGTATCTCTGCCCTTGGCAATAGGATTAGGACAGTGACACATTACGCACAAACATAATAACACACAATTGTGACAGATTAGATCCAAACATGACCCCTAATTAATATGGCTTAGTCTTACATGGTCAAAAAAACACTCAAAAAACACTTGTTTTTTTATTACATATAAGTGAAAATGACATACAAGGTATCTATTGTGTCTTTAACTTGTTTATGTATCTCCTATTTGACTCTCCAGGATCTCCCAAAGCCGATCCGAGCCAACTTCATCCTCAACGTGGAGACTGATGAGCTCTTCATCACTGCGGGCCTGCAGGACAGAGTTGTTCAGGTCAGTAAAGAAATATACTCTCCACAAATGTACCGTCACAACATCAAACCATGTCACTTAACTTAAATGCAATACTCCTTTGTCTTTACAGGTGTATGAAGGCTTAGTCTACATGGATTTCAGCAAGAATCTCATGGCAGAGCAGGGCTACGGTATTGAAGTCAACATCTGTCCGTGGATGATAAGTGAATGATACAAAGAAATGTCTTTCCTAATGTGTGTTTCCTGTTGTCAGGGAACTATGTTTCTATGGACATGAGTGGGCTCCCACACTTTTGGCTGGCTTACCTGAGCGACCCCAGCGACTCTGGACGCATCCACAGCAACATCAGACAGCGCTGGCTCAGTGGTGAGTCTTCTTATGGAAAATGACTCCGAAAATCTTCACTGCTAATTAAAGAGGCCCTATCATGCTTTCCTGTAGTGTTTTATATAGGTTTCAGTGCATGTAAATGGTTTGCAAAGGCTAAAATACCAAAGTTCCCTCCAGAGGGAGTTTCTCTTTCACACCCCTTTAGAAGATACTGTCTTGTATAATTGTGTGTAATTAGGATTAACTTTTCCTACGTATGTAATGACAGACATTTCAGTTTTTCTAAAAACGAACAAAAATCCTCAGTTCTTTTTTAAAAATAACATGCAAGCTCATGTGCATATTTCCATATTTCTGTTCATGTTGGATTTATTAAAAGGAAATAGTTAGTTGGACTACTTTCATGCTGCTTTGTCTTTCCACAGGGGAGCCTCTGGTTGTCGAGGCCATGAAGAGTTTTGCTGAGCTCACCGATCAAGCAAGGTTGGTTTGAGCACTTTGAAGTGGATTGTTGATCAAGAATGTATGCAATAAAAAGCACTGGAGGTTTGGTTAAAACATCTCATGGCAAAAGCCTGACTACAATTATGTCTGGCTCTTTTTCAACTGTCGTGAAATGGCTTTGGGATTCCTGAACCCTTAATCTAAGTAGGGAACGAGCCCTTACTCCAAATGAAGGAGTTCAAGTATCTGTTGGGGACGATGGTGGGTGAGATGGGCAGGAGAATCGGAAGCAGTATTGCAGTCACTTTACCGCATAGTTCTGAGCCAGAAGGCAGAGCTCTCAATCTACCGCTCTTTGTTCCTACTCTCACCTATGATTAAAGAACGAGATTGCGGATACTAGCAGCCGAAATTGGTTCCCTCCGGGGGTGGCTGACATCTCCCTTAGGGATAAGTGAGAATTTAAATCATCTGGGAGGAACACGGAGTAGAGCTTAGTAAGGATGCCACCAGGCCGACGTTTCGAGCACGTCCAGCTTGGAGGAGACCGAGGGGTAGACCTAGGACCAGGTGGAGGGGCTATATCTCCACGCTGGCCTAGGAGGAGCACCTTGGAATCCCCCAGTCAGAGCTGGTTGATGTGGCCGGGGAAAGGGACTCTCTGCTGGAACTGCTTCCTCTATAACCAGACTCTGGATAAGCGGTTGAAGATGGACGGACGAAGGGACGGACGGACAGAGAACCGATGGATTCCTTGACTTGTTGTGTGAAATACTGTGGAAGTGTTGGCTATGTTGTGACATTTCAGAGATAGGACCATTATATGTGAAGCTGATTCAATATTGTTCTCTCCTCAGGTTGGCTCTACAGGACAGAGACTGGAGGCGCCTGGCTCAACTGATGGACCAGAATTTTGAGCTGCGGAGGTAAATAGTATATTTTGATGTTAGGCATTAGGCAGAAGGTTCTACAGGTACATTCTTACCTACAGTAACAACATATCCCACAGGTCTGTGTACACTGATGACTGTCTGGGTCCGGGGAACCTGAAGATGGTTCAGCTGGCGAGGCAGGTCGGTACTGAAATGTTCTTCCACCTGTATAGAGCAAGCATTATTTATTAATTCACACTTTTATCCATCTCCATCTGTGTGGAATATTTTTCTGTTTATGCATTCATGAAGTTTTACTGCTCGTTGCAGTTTGGATCGGCGGTGAAGTTACCCGGCAGTGGGGGGGCCGTGGTGGGTCTGTGTCTGGATGAAGAGAAACTGGTAAGACTACATTATGTGAGATTGGAGCCTCATATTTATTTTCTTCGTCTTGGTTCCCTTTGTACTCCATAAGATATGTGTAATTTAAAACCTTTATTGACACTACAGAAAAAAGCAGTGAGCATTTTGCATAATGCACATCCCTGAGAACACACAAATTAACTGTTTATTGAGTCGAGGCTGTTAACATGTAAAGATTGAATTGAATTACAGACTTCTTTAGTTATGCATAAAGCAACAAATACCATACTGCCAGAAAATATACAAAACAAATTTGTTTTAACTTCAGAGGATGAGCAACTTGGATGGAAATGTAACTTGGCAGCACGCCTCGTTCTGTGTCCGTATGTCTGTATTACTTGTATGATTGAGTGATTACATCTAAATTGTCTGGCGGACACTTTCAATTTTTCAACTGCTACATCTCAAATCCTAATCGTAAATGTAGTAGTGTGACTTACCGGCGGAAATACCGGCTACTTGGACTTTTGGAGCCTGTTCAACTCGGCAACCGGACTACACATCGTTGATCTTGATGGGTCCAATTATTTTTCTCATCCTAAAGCGAAGTTCCTGGCTTTTTTAATTGTGCACTGATCTGTTTCTGACTGTGTTACGATCCCTACTGATCCAGTTTTTTAACTTTTAAACCAGCGATGTATCGGGTCGGGCTTCCTGTTTACATGTGACTTCACTACACGCATCGTCCCCAGCTGATCGGGTGGTTGAAAATTCCCGGAATGGATTTACATGGGATTGACCCTGATTTTGTTCTGCACTGATGCCCCTTTCACACCAACGCGTTTTCAGCTCCGGCTCGGAGCTGGAGCCTGAAAAGTACCGTTTTTTCCTGTTCACACCGCAGAGGCGCTGCCTCTTAGCTCCGGAATCCGGTTCACTTCCAGCTCCAAAACATTGTCGGTCTAGAGCAGGGGTGCCCAACCAGTCGATCGCGATCGACCGGTCGATCGCGGGGAGATTCCCAGTCGATCGCGAGATGTGTCTAAAAATAGAACAACAATATTCAGTTTTATCGTTAATGTCCTATAACATAATCTTCCAGTGCCAGAATAATGCACTTGAACGCATCAAAGCTTTGTGATTGGCCGGCGTGACCCCATGTGTCGGGGCGTGGCTGGTGGGCAGTGGGCAGTGCACTAGTTCGCTAACGTTGTCCGTCAACACCACACCAGGAGTGACAGTCCGCACACACACAAGACCGCAGTTATGGCAGAAGCAAAGCATATATAATTTTCACTCCGAGTGGGAGGATGATTATTTTTGTATCTATTCCAATTCAAAGTCCATCTGTCTCATCTGCAATGTGAGCGTGGCTTTATCGAAGAAGGGTAATTTAGGAGCGGCATTTCAAAACAGTGCACAAACGCTACGAGACGGAATTCCCTCCTAATTCTGCCCTACGCTCCCAAAAGGTGAGGGACCTGAAAGGACAGCTAAATGCACAGTCAGTCCATTTTCACCAGGCCCAACAACAAGAGCAAGGTTGCGTTCCGATAATCCAAAAATCAGCTCCTAAGTTCTAACCCTATCTCCTATTCCTTGACCTCTGAGTGAAACGTCACAGGGTTAAGGGATAGTGGATAGGAGAATTCAAAAGGATTTAGGAGAAGAGACCGCGGTACTTTAGAGAATCCGAATGCACTTTCACTATCCGATGTGTTTATGATGCGCCAGCTGACGTCATGAATGTGCGTCTGCTGCTGCTGTGGGGAAACTATGGAAACTACAGTTTTCTATACAGCGGACTACAACATGGATGTTTAATAAGAACGAGGGGCTACTGTAAACTCATCTAGAGACTCTGCACCGTGCTCTGATGCTTTATGCTTTATGAACGTGGACAACAGAGAAACATATTCTTCAGGACCAAAGTTGGAATTGAAATAAAAAAGGAAAGTGAAACTTATGCTCGTCACCCTCTCCCTCCGGTCCACATTAATACAAATGATCCCAATACGTATGATTGTATGAAAAGATCTTAAAATCAATACAGATGTATTTATTATAAACGTTAGTCCTTAACATCTATCACTGTGTATATCACCATTCAAACATCTTTTAAAAGTTGAACAACCCCCACACAGCTCAGTAAAGACTGAGATGTTGACTTTATTTGATCATTTCCGTAAAAACTAACGTTCATATTTCTCTTTTTGATTATAATACTGATGAACGTTCAGAACAAAGCACTTTGGCAACTTACCACATATGTTTTAAAAAGCTTAATAAGCACCGTAACTTTCATGATATCATTTCTCGGTCATAATCGGTTGTTTCCGTTAGGAAGGTTCCTAAGCTAAATGGACTATTGGAATGCAACCCAAGGCTGCTACCATAGCATCTTAACGTGTCAGTCACGTTCTTGCGTAACACATGAAGTCTTTCAAAGACGGCGAAGTTGTGAAAGAAGCATTCCTGGAGGCTGCCGATGCGTAATAAAAATAACAGTAGCATTTCAACAGGTTTTTGAAGTTAGATACCGTTATTAATCAGCTGTAAGTTTGAGTTTGTTTGAACTTATTCATTATAATTATTGTACAAAATGGTATAAGAATGCAAACTTAAATTGATTATAGTCTATTATCAATTCAGGTTAAGAAACTAGTGTTGCTTGCATCCTATTTTTTTAAAGGCATTTATTTTTATAATCTACTAAAATGCAACAAAAAAAGGGTTTGATTCTATTAATTTTGTCTTTTTTATTGTGTAGCTTCAGATCTGAGTTGTCTTATTAGTAAGCCTAATTTATACTTTTGTAGCAACACTATTTTTATATAATGGTAAAGAAAGGGTTCAGAGTCTTTTCTTTTTTCCCTGTGTCATATGTGGCAGCACTGTTCAATGTTTCTTGAAAACATTACCCACTGTAGTATGTGACGTGTGAATAAACTCCAACTCTGTATCAACAACACTGTTGTGTAACTTCAGTTAAATACTTGTATGTGTGTAGATTAGAAAGAGGTAAGATAAATGATCTGCAGTATTTTATGAAGTATTAATCGTACAAAGGTCAGTTTTATACAAGTAGAAGTGTGTATTTACCTGGCAGTAGGCTGTCAGCAATGGCTACGCCTCTATTTGGACTGGTAGATCTCGGCAGACTGGCAACTTTAACAGTAGCTCTCGGTTCAAAAAAGGTTGGGCACCCCTGGTCTAGAGGCAAGAGCTTCGGAGCTAAGAGGCGGCGTCGCTTACGTCTCTCTTACGTCGACGCGGGGGCAGGGGCAGATTCGTCGTTTAAGTAGATGCTGAAGACCACAAAGAAGTCTTGCATTTCGCATGTGATGTTTGTAAAGTTCCAAGTAAAGTCGTCCCTTGTAAAGTCGTCCGATGCCTTCCATTTCGTTTCGTAAGAGGATAACCAAAGCGAACAGCGCTTCAATACAATCGGCCATTGTTGTTGTTGTCGATGTGAGGGATATCCGCGCGGTTTGGATTTTATGAAGCAGGCACGTAAACGGTGACGTCATGACGCAGCAGCGGCAGCTCTGGGCGGTGTAAACAGAGCGGGAGCAGAAAAGGGAAACCGGAGCTGAACCAGAAAAGCTCCCGCTCGGAGCTAGAAAGGGAAAAGCGCTGGTGTGAAAGCCGCATGACTTGTCCTGTGGCGTGGAGCTCAAGAGTCTGTTTTGGTCGGGTTCTCCACGTTTCGCGGGATTTTAATTATGTCACTGCTTTTGGCTGTCCTATTCCTTTTAATTTGGAGCAGCACTGGGGGAAGTCCCCACGGGACCGAAATATCCCGTCCATTTCTCCCAACCCCGGTTTTAGCAGGACGGGGAACGTGCTCCTCTTGCAGTCCGCTGGGCACGATGTTGAGCCCCCTCCCTCTGATCCTCTCTCCCGCATCTGTCAAGTGCGGATCTGTGGACTTGGCCCGTCTGATTAGCCTCATGGCTAAACTTTAGTATTTCTTCAAGTCATGTTCATGATTTTGTGATTTTTTTTTTAAACACTAAGTGAGAGCCGTCAAAACGTCCACCTAGGCCTGTCTATAGGTGTCTAATTGTTCTCTTATTGTTGATTTTTTTCCCGGAAATGTGCAACCTAACCCTGGACCAGATTATTGTGTTAATTTTAACACCCCTGCAGATTTTAAATCAAGTTCTGGTCTTGATCTCATCCATTTGAATGTGCGCAGTTTGATTGCTAAAATGGATATGATTCGTATTTGGGCACATTCAACCGATGCTGATATAGTAGGGATATCTGAAACTTGGCTAACCAAATCAATTTCAAGCAAGGATATTTGCATTGACGGCTATAATGTGTATAGGACTGATCGACCTAAAAAGGGTGGAGGTGTTGCAGTCTATGTTAGAGTGACCAGACGTCCCCGTTTTCCGGGGACAATCCCCGTTTGTATTGGCCTGTCCCCGGAAATGTCCCCGTTTGTTAATATACGTTAAAAACACATAGCAAGGTGAAATAAAACGTTTCATGTCAGGAAACACTGGGTAAACAGACTGTGGTCAAGCCAGCACCCACTTCGGAAAACACAATCAAAAGCACGTTGTATTGCGGTGCGCGAATATCCTATGCATTACGGTAGAAGCATGTAAAAACTGCCTTCAAAATAAAAGCGTTTACTCGGTCAATAACAAATATACCTAAAAAACACACCAAACATATTCATATATACTGGAGCTTAAATTAAGAAATATGTACTATATAATGTGATCAATAATCATTTAAAACAAACTACGTATAACTACCACATTATAACTGAGTGAATGTAAAATGTAAGGATACAGTTATGAAGACATATCTGACATTTCCACTGGGTGACTAATTTCAATTGATGTTGACACCATCTCACAACACTTGATTTATCCATAGTTTGCTCAACATTACTTTCTGAAGCACAATTTAAAATGTATGCTGTTTAAAATCTCAAATTAGATCTATTGTCCATCTATATTTTGATTATTATTTAATGGAAACCGTCCATAATCAAAGAGTCATTCGAAGTCAATCAAATACTTAGTTTCAAAATAAAATACTTTTGAAATCTCATATATGGGCTATCGTCCTTCTGTTTTTATACAAGAATAAATAAAAAAACTGTTAAATTATCAAAGACTTATTTCACTCCAGGGTGATAGCAGGACACCCCATCTAGTCACTCAGAGAGAATCAGGACAATCTGATGTAGAGTTTCAAAATAAAAGACCTTTGAAGTCTCATATATTAGCTATCATCCCTCTGTTTTTAGATAAGAATGAAACAAAAACTATCCAGTATCAAAGACTTATTTCACTTCAGGGTGATAGCAGGTCACCCCATCTAATCACTCAGAGAGAATCTGGACAATCTGATGTAGAGTTTCAAAATAAAAGACCTTTGAAGTCTCATATATGAGCTATCTTCCTTCTGTTTGGTCAAACAGTTCAAATGTTCGAATTACATTAAACCAGAATTGTCCCCCTTTTTTCTTTAACAGTGAAGACAACTGGATATGTTAATGATATATTGACCGCAAAACTCAAAATGTCCCCGGTTTTCATTTTGAAAATCTGGTCACCTTAGTCTAAGTTGAATCAAAGTTTCATGTAAAATGATTCTCTCTAAATCACTGACAAAACCATTTGAACTTTTGCCTCTTAACTTGGAAGTATCAAAAGCGCTCCATATATTACTGTTGTTGGTTGCTACAGACCACCTTCAGCTGTCAGCGACGCTTTACCATCTTTAATGCAGCTTTTGTCCAGTCTTAACTATACTGAAATTGTCATTGTGGGTGACCTTAACTGGAACTGGCTTCTACCAGCATCTGATGATGTTAAAATATACTGCAATTCCTTAAATCTCTTTCAGATTGTTTGCAGTCCCACTAGACCCAATCTGAAATCTCCTGAAAAATCCTCCTTAACTGATCTAATCCTTACAAATGCCTCTCATAAATACACCCCTGCTTCTGTATTTGCAAATGACATCAGTCACCACTGTGTCATTGCCACGGTATGGAATACAAAACCCTGTATCATCATAAAGCGTGATATGAAACATTTTGTAGAGCAGGGTTTTTTCCACGACCTGTTTCTATTTGATTGGGACAAAATCAATCTCATTGCAGATGTTGAAACTGCCTGGACATTATTTTATGATGGTTTTATTAAAATAGTTGATAGGCATGCCCCCATAAGAAACTACAGAGTAAAAGGCAGAGACAATGCATGGTTCACATCAGATCTTTCTGATTTACTACACGAGCGCATTATGGCATGGTCAAAAGCCAGGAGTACAGGTCTTGGGTCACATTGGCTGCTCTTCAGGCAGCTGTGAAATGCATTTACCGTTAAAATCAGAAAAGCAGATCATCTCCTAACTGAAACTTCAGACAACCTTAATAATCCCCTTAAACTCTGGAAAACTATTAAATCACTAGCTGGAAACAAAAATGTTATAGAGCTTCCACATTGCATTGTGAAGGAGGACTCTGTTCAAATCGTTGATAAGGCAGAAATGCTTGGTTGGTTTAATGAACATTTGTATTGCTTCTGGTTCGCTGTTTACCTCGCAGAACATAGCTCAAGGAGCCACTGATAGCTCTAACGGTGGTATCTGGGAGGGTGAACCGTTTAATTTTATTCCAGTAACAGTCTCAGAGGTGCATAAAGCCCTGAAAAGTTTGGAACCAAGAAAATCAGCAGGTCCTGACAACCTGGAGCCTTACTTTTTAAAGTTAGCAGCTGATTTTATAGCTTTGCCCTTGGCTTATCTTTTTAATCTGTCCTTGGAGTCAAACGAAATTCCCCTTATTTGGAAATCTGCTTTTGTTCTCTCACTGTTAAAAGGGGGTGACCCCACTCTCCTAAACAACTACAGACCCATCTCCAAATTATGTGTTTTAAATAAAGTACTGGAATCTCTGGTAAATTTCCAACTGAAGGAGTTTTTATCAACAAATAATATTTTATCTGAGTTTCAATCTGATTTTAGGAAAAAACAGCACTACAACAGCTGCCTTAAAAGTAGTAAATTATCTTATTTACTTCTTAGACAATAGAGAGCATTGCGCAGCAATTTTTATTGACTTGTCAAAGGCTTTTGATACAGTGGATCATGCCTTACTGTTACAAAGACTTGTTAGTATTGGTCTTTCAGGTTCGAGAACTATCTATCATGCAGATCAGTGTGTGCGGGCAGAAGGCTTAACTTCAACATCTCTTCAGGTATCCAAGGGTGTGCCACAGGGATCTGTTTTAGGACCATTGTTATTTATTATTGACATTAACAGTCTTAATAACAATGTTTTGAATGCAAATTTGCATTGTTATGCTGATGATACAGTTATTTATTGTTCTGCGTCCACCCCGAAGCAGGCTCTTTGTCAGCTCCAGAATGCTTTTAACATTGTACAATCCAACATGTGTGATTTGAAACTTGTTTTAAATGCTGCCAAGACAAAGCTAATGATGTTCTCGAAAGCAAAATCCAAGGTCTTGAACCTTCCTCCTATCACCACCTTGCAGGGGACGGAGATTGAATCTGTGTTGCAGTATAAGTATCTTGGAATTATAATTGATAATTCGCTTTCTTTTAAACCACACATTGTGGAACTCTTGAAAAAATTAAGAATAAAATTAGGTTTTTTCTTTAGAAACAAGTCTTATTTTTCCTATGAGGCCAAAAAGAGACTAGTGTCTGCAACATTTCTGTCTGTGCTGGATTATGTAGATGTGGTTTATATGAATGCATCTTCTCAGTGCCTTCACTCGCTGGACACCGTCTACCACGGTGCACTGAGATTCATCACAAACCTCAAAACCTTGACACACCACTGCAATCTATACACTCGTGTTGGATGGTCTTCCCTGACCACGCGTAGACTGAAACATTGGCACATCCTTATATATAAGGCTATTCTTGGTGCTCTTCCCCCTTATCTAAGAATGTACATAAACAGAAAATGCACAGGATCTTATCGGCTTCGCTCCGAGAACTTTTTCCTTTTAACTGTACCAAAGGTCCGTACTGAACTTGGGAAAAGGGCGTTCAGTTACGCTGCCCCTCAAGCTTGGAACCTGCTTCAAGTTCAAACTGAGCTGAAACTCAGAGAGCTGGTCTCATTAAACACACTCAAAGCAACTTTAACTGACCTTGAAGCAGGCCGCTGTGTCTGTAAATGCTTTGGCTAAACTTGGTGTAAGACTGTGTTGTGATTGTGTGTTTTTTAATTGTCTGTAACTGTAAAACTGTCTGAAACTGCTGTTACCATTCTTGGGCCAGGACTCTCTTGAAAAATAGATTTTTAATCTCAATGAGACCTATCCTGGTTAAATCAAGGTAAAATAAAATAAAAATAATAGTATTTTTGCACAGACTACCTTAAAGCAGCTGTGTATCTCTGTAGTTGGCGTTAAACTGTGGAATTCATTACCAAATTATGTAAAGGGCTGTAAGAACATCTTTAGGTTTAATAAAATGTATAAAGAAATACAAATTAGACAGAATAAAGATGTCAGGTAACCCGTGTTGCTGAAGGTACAGGTACTTGCCGTCAAAAAGCCCTTTTTTGATGCTCTTTTCGAAGCCATCTTTGACAAAAACTGTATTTTTTGCTTGCGGAACATGACGGTTGCAGGATGGTTAGTAGTTTGTGTTATTTAAAGGGTTATTTCAGATACATCAGAGTCATAAATCAAATTTTGTTTTGTTAGTAGATCCAAACTATTCCTAACGTCGCAGTATGTCAAAGCTCAGGCCTTTTTATAATTCCATATAGTGTAATTTGACAGGATCTTGGACTTGAGGTCTTAAGATTTAACAGTAATTAACCTGTTATAGTTTGCAAATTCTGAGTGTGTACTTTATTTGTGAATCAATGCTGTTTAATGCAGTCTGTGTTTTTCCCACTAGGTGGAAATGAGGCAAGCTTTCCAGGAGGCAGGCTGTGTCTTCTGTGTCATCGCTCCATACAACCCATCTGCCAGCACTGTGGGCGGCCAACACTAGCCTCACATCTCCCCACGACTCAGTCAGGGCTACCCGAGGCCAGCTTATGGCCATCGGCTGGATATAGCAGAGTGCAACCCTCAGTGAGGCCCGATATCATTTCATAGCCCTTATTACTAAAACAGACAGCGGAGATCATGATTGTTTTATGATCAAATGTGTAAATGTCCCCTCTGTGGGATGAATAAAGGTATTCTGATACATGAAAATATAAGAAAGCCATTGTTAAAAAAAGAAAAATCAGGGTTGTCATTAGGTGATTAAATATTTGGGGATACTGTGTGTAATTATTAATCAGATTGATCAAATGGTGCTTTATCATCCATCAGGATTTGCGTCACTTGATCTCTGGACAATAAGAGAGTCTGCATATTTTACATTTTTATTTCAGATTATATGACAATGGTGATCACATGGAAATGTAAGGTTCTGCACGAGAATGACCTTAAGTCAAATATATCAATCGCAGTAATGTGAAAATTATGTAATTATTTTTCTACATGTGATATTTTATAGATATTATCTTTGTATAATTAATGTAATTGTTGTACACAAATTAAAAGCAACTGTATCGTTGTCAGTGTTTTCTCAGCTGTATTGTTCACCTGTAATAGTCATGTACCAATTCCAATTCTCAAAGCAACATTATTCAACCTGGACATAAATATAGTCTATACAGTAGCCCAGTTCAAACTAGTTTAAATAACCAATAAGCAGAAGTGGGTCAAGTCCTCAGATCTTGTACTTAAGTAGAACAACTACCAGAGTGAAGGAATACACTGTTAGAAGTAAAAGTTCTGCATTCAATATGTTACCTTCGTAAAAGCACAAAAGTTTGGCATATACTTAAATTACCAACAGTAAAAGTACTCGCTTTGCCCATTTCAGAATGATATATATTATATATTTTCATTATAATCATTGATATATCAATGTGTTTATCAATCCCTGTAAAGGTGGAACAAATGTTTTTTGTTTTTTTAAAATGTTGTATTATTTTATTTACTGCTGAGTAGCATGTGAATTGAATCCAGGTGTAACTTTAGTCTTATTTAATTAATAATTGATCATATTTAATTGATCATTAATCCATATCTGCTAAATAACTGTAAATGTATTGGAGTAAAGTACAATATTTACCTCTGAATTGTAGTGGAGTTGTATTACAAGGTAGCATAACATGGAAATACTCAAGTAATGTACTAGTACCTCAGAATTGTACTTAAGTACAGTACTTTAGTATACTTAGTTACTTTACACCACTGCCAATAACATGATATGATCATGTTTTCCTTTAACCCTCTCATATATTGTGTACTGTTTCCCTGTAGGCTACTGTGTGTATTCAGTGAGCAGATCTAATTTGCCGTTTCCTCCAGTGGGCGGCGTAGCAGGGCTCTGCCTGGCCGCACAGCGCTGCTCTCAGCTCCGCTCCGTGTTGTTGCCTTCCCCTCTCACTCATGCGGACCCGGCCGACGCTCATGGACTAGCTGCAGGTGTGGTGGTGGACTGTATCGGGTTTGTAGCGGAGTAGGGCACCCAGTGGACCATGGCTGCCAAAGAGGACCTCTACAGTAAAATCCTCCCTCGGAGGCTCCGGCAGAACCGACCGGGTTCAGTGAAATGTGGCTCCAACCTGGACGTGCTGTTATCTATGGGCTTCCCCAGACCGAGAGCGTAAGTAGCCTGACCTTAACCCCGTATGTGTGTGTTGGCTGGGGGATTACATGCCTCTCAGAGGTCGACCGGGGACCAGGCGGGGACACGGCCGGTGTGTAACGGTTTTGTTGTGGGAGTTAGCGGACGGGTCACACGCAGGATCTCTCCACTCTCTTGCCGTTTCCCTGCGTCGCTTTTCACTGTGAGCAGCTAGCTGTGTTTCCCTGTATACAGCCAACACAACTTAATAGTGGAATACAGTCGAATAAAATATCATATAGCAGAAATGTTTAGGTAAAAATGAAGAACAATGTTGCATATAACTCAATAAGAAAAGCAAAAAAAGACCTGAGTGGCGCGAGACAGAATTACCAAAGTTAACAGAATAAGCAGTGGTGTCATAGTAAAGTACATTTACTCAAGTATTGTACTCAAGTATGATTTTGGGGTACTTTTACTTCACTTGAGTATTTTTATTGTATACTACTTTACTCTATACTTCTACCCCACATACATTTCGGTGCCAATATTGTACTTTGTATATCGTAGGCTACTACTCCACTACATTTATTTGACAAAATGAGTTATATTTTACACATTCAGATTATTAGTTAAAACAAAAATATAAATGGACTAATAAATAAACTGTGATGTATAATTAGGGGTTAAGATATCCAGCAGCAGTATTTAAAGTAATTACTATGGTGTGTTTTTTTTTTAACTTACTGTGCATAGCCTACTCAGCCATTTATCTGCAATATCTGCTGTTGTAATGATGTACATTTCCCCATTGTGGGACCAATAAAGGATCTCTGAATTAAAGTAGCTCCATCTTTAACAGCTGTAATGAACACATTAATGCATACAAATAAATCCTCCACTAATGTAATATATGATTCTACGACGGGACATTACACATACTTTTACTTTTGGTACTCTAAGTATTTTTTGATGCCAATACCTTTGTACTTTTACCTACCTGAGAGTTTAAATGCACGATGTTGACTTGTAACAGAGTATTTGTAGACTGTTTCTACTATTGCTTGAGTAAAATGTCTGAGTACTTATACCACTGAGAGTAACTGTGCATCAAATACATTAATTGGGGAGGTTTTCTTCGTCTCTTCTGGGTTTAATTGTATGGTTAATACTGTGGTAAATACAATGAAGAAAAAAAAACATTTTCTTCAGTCTTTCACAATTGCAGTTGTGTCAAATTAACCATAAGTAGGAAACGTATGTTTCGCCTATAATCTTGAGAAGCTGTCATATGTAAACTATTGAGGAAACTGGAGTCATGGAGTCATGACTGTGTGTTTGTGGAGGGGAGGTGTCATACGGTTCACCCTGTGTCCTCTGCTGTTTCTGAATGGAGCGACTGTCTTTAACTTGGCCAGATCCGTGAGTTCGATTCCGTACTGTTGCTACAGGCTCTCACTGTAAACACAACACTGCTGTATACTGTATCACCGGCCAGGAAAGCAGCAGTTTATACTAAATCCTGGAATACCGCTGCTGGACTGATCATTATTACGTGATGCATTTTTTGGTAGTATGTTCACTTTGTATTAGTTTGGTGTTAGTTCTCAATTAGAAAGAAAAGAATGCTAAAATCACATTTTCCATAATGTTACCCATGCTAACACAGCTGCTATGGGCTAGAGCAGGGGTTCCCAACCTTTTTTCCCAAGGGCCCCCCCAAATGACTCCTGTTGGAAGTTGCGCCCCCCCCCGCACAGGCAAGCAGCAACAAACAAGAACCAAATACATTAGTGCACAGCCACCCGCAGACTAAAAACCTTGAATGAACACACACAGACACACACACACACACACACACACACACACACACACACACACACACACACACACACACACACACACGGGGGGGGGGCAGCGGTAATTAAAGCTTAAAAGTCTAAAAAATGCTACAACTACTGTCACAAACTGGATGAATGTGAAGTATTTTGTTAAAGGAGGATGAAAGCGTAATTAAGGAGCACTATTGGAGTGACTTTGATGGTTATTGGACTCAGGATTCATTAATTTGGATTCCCGCTGTATGAAGAAATGAAAGGACGGAAAACAATGGAAGTGGAAACAATTCACAAAGGGATTAAACTGTTTAAAACACATGCTCAAAGTAAGCCGGATTTTGCCGATGTGTTCATGTGGATTCAAAAGTCGTAAATAATCTACAAAATGGAGGAGACCGATCTGATCGGAGCAACTGTGACAAATAATCCAACTGAAACCGGCATGGACAATGACTATGTTTTAAAAATGCGCTTATCCAGAAAACCCTGGTTTGGACACTTTACGGGCAGAAGAAACATTTCTATTAAAGAAAGAATTATACATTTCTGTCTTTTTATGCCTTTTATAGCTACTAACTTGAATTTGTATTCAAATTAATTAATCAATTATTTTTTATATTTTATTGTAATGTAGAGACGAGGCTTTTAGCGACAATAATTTGTGCGTTACAATTATATTTTAAAAAAAATGAAGAAAAAAACAAACAAAAAAAAGTCTATGATATTTGGCCTCAAATCATCTGAGGCCTGGCGCCCCCCCCCCCCCCCCCCCCCCCCCCTGCGATCTTTAGCGCGCCCCCCAGATTAGGAACCACTGGGCTAGAGGTCTGTGTGTCAGAGTTGACCCGTAGTGAATCACCACAGTAAAAAGAGATTCCTGGCTCTGTTACTTCAGATTGAATGGACACTGAGTCAGTGAAGTCAGCAGATAATACTCATATTGTAACGGTTACACTGCTGGATAGTGTTTACTTTGTACACTGTAATTTGGTTTTTAAAAGATGTTTGTTGTCAGCTAACTTGCTATCGTTACCTACCTAGCTTGTGGTTTTTTTAAACACATTTAAATGTCCAAAAAAGACTAGACCTATGTACACTGCTAAAAAAAGGAACACTTTTTAATCGGAGTATAGCATCAAGTCAATTAAACTTCTGGGATATGGATGTGGTCATTTAAGTAGCAGAGGGGGTTGTTAACCATTCAGCTGATTTGTGAGCTGAGGTGCACAAGAGAGGCAACAATGAGACATCCCCCAAAACAGGAATTGTTTTCCAGGCGGAGGCCACTGAAATGTTTCCCTCATCATCTTTTCTGATTGTTTTTTACTAGTTTTGCATTTGGCTAGGGTCAGTGTCACTACTTCTACCTGATACCGGACCTACAGAGGAACCAACATCCTCTAGTGGGCCCTGTGCTCACTGCCCTGCAACGTGGAGCTCAGTTGGCATTTGCTATAGAACACCAAAATTAGCAGGTCCACCACACAAAATCCTTGGACCCATTGTCGGCCCTGCGCTGGTGCAGTGGGTCCTGGGTTTCTCCTGGCGCACGAAAATGCCCGGCCTCATGTGCGAGAGTATATAGGCAGTTTCTGGAGGATGAAATAGTTGATACCGTTGACTGGCCCCCACGCTCGCCTGACCTAAATCCAACACCTCTGGGACATTATGTTTCGGTCCATCCGACTCCGCCAGGTTGCTCCTCAGACTGTCCAGGAGCTCAGTGATGCCCTGTTCCATATCCTGGAGGACATACCCCAGGACACCATCCATCGTCTCATAAGAAGCATTCCCTGATGTTGTCAAGAATGCAGAAAAGCACATTAGGATAAAACACATTACTGAGTACCACTTTTAGTTGCTGCAATGGAATTTCCGCAAAATGGACTAGCCTACCAAATAATTGTTTCACTTAGATGTTCGGGGTGTCTTTAAATTCAGCCCAGTGTAGGTTAAACATTTTAATTTCCATCAAACGATGTGGCATCCTTTCATTCCTAACACATTACCCAGTCTATATCAGTTTAGATATCCAGCATGATTTTCTTCCCCATTGAGATCTGATGTGTTTTCAGAGTGTTCCTTGCATTTGTTTGAGCATTCAACCTAGAGTAATCTGTAATGTAATCAAATGAACAGTCCCTCTCTGGTTGCCTGCATGTAATACGTCATTTGGTCTTATTTTGTCGCATGCGTTGGTGTTGTCTGTTGGAAACATAAATTGCATTATTATGCAGTTTTCAGGCCACATTTATAATTTTGTAATGAAGGATGTGTGGCTATATACTTTAATTTGATGATTTTAGTCACTGTACCACTGGATCTTTAGCTATTGAGAAATGAACTGAGAATATATGTATTACAAACTAACAGAGGAAGTGTTGGAACCAGCCAAACATGGTAGAGTGAAATGTCCCTGCTATAACCGTGACATCATTTGCCATGTATGATGGCTTTCATTGACTATCCAAAAACCTCTACTTCTAATTTAGCTAAATAAACATCTAAAAAAAATATCACCTCCCATTTCCCAGTGGATTTCCAAGGAAAGAACCCTTTGAATACAGCTGGTCAGAGCAGCAGATGGAAAAGCTCGCATAAACAGTTTATGCTAGATTCAGTATTGTCATGTGTCATTTTAATTAGTGAAATCACCTATTTGTGTCCGTATAGTTTAAACCACTTTTGCACTTCTCTTTTTCAGTATATAGTATACACTTAACCTTGGAAGTCTTTCCACCCCTTTCACCCAGACAGATGTCACACTTCAAGAGCGTTTGTGTGTACATGTGTAAGTGTTAGTAATGGTGTATGTCAGAGGAAGTGTGCTGTGGTTTGCTGAATGGACACAGCATATGATGACAGGCCCCCAGGCAGGCAGGCCATCGTTGGCCTAGAACACACTCCCTCAGGGAAGCCACAACCTCTTTAATACCAGCCCATGACTGCTTGGCCTTGACACTGTCTGTCTGTCTGACTCACTCCCTCTTTTTTCTGTCTTAAGGGGTTGACCCACTACATTTCCTGACCAACTTCTTGTGTCCTGGTTTTGCTATAAAAGGATTGCTGCTGTGTAGAAAGATGTTCATCTATTGTTTTGGTTTGGGGCATCCCCACATTGCTACCAGTGTAGAGTAGATACACCCACTGGCTTTATCACTACTTTACTTTAACTTGATAACATTGACTTACAAATGTAGA